CTCAACCCTGTGCCACGACCCTCCCGCACCTTGCTGTCCCGAGCCCGCAGACAGCTGACAAGGCTCAGGCTCAGACCCGGAGCTGCTCTCCTCTGGCCCCCAGCTGTTGAATGGCAGCAGTAGGCATTAAACCCTGCAGCCCACCGCCATGTGAGCACTGGCCCAACAGCGCATCACCCGGTGGTTCCTGTCTGAGCATATCCCGCGTGCCAGTCAAAGCACAGAAGTGATTACACACACTCATGGGAGCTCTGTGAGGAAACGACAGGACTGGCAGAGATGCAGAGGTATCACGTGGCTCGTGACGACACCACCGGAGGGGGAGCTGGGGTTCTGGGCCAGGCCCACACACCTCCCCGGCACCAGCTCCACACTCCCCACCGCACGCTAAACGCCAAGGCCAGACTGCGGATGTGGCTGTGCAGGTATGTGTGCACGCGCTGGATGGAAATCGGGAAGACGGGCCGCCACGCTGCACACTGCTCCCGCCACCGCCCCAGCACCCGGCCCCAGGCCCCAGGCCGTGCCCAAGCCCTAGACCCTCCCTTTCAAAAGCTACACTTTGCCCTCCTCGTTATCAGATGAGGAGTTGCCCAGCAGGAGAGAAGGCAGGGGGCGGGTGGCTTAAATGATGCAGGTGTGCCCACTGCTCGCCCGCTCAGAAAAACTGTACTCCCCTTCTACAACATTCCGAGGAGCCGGGTACGGGCATTACCTGGTTCAGAGTCCCCTGGTGCTGGGGTGCCGATGGCTGCTGGGGGGTGGCGGAGCCATAGGAGCTGGCCACGCCGTACTGGGAGGGGGAGCCGTAGCTCTGGTACATGCTCTGCAAAGGCACGGAAAGAAGGGTCAGCGCAGGCACGGTGCCGTCCCTGTCATCCTGCCCGCTGGGAAGCCACAGGCAATCTGTGATGCCCCACTTCCCCTTTCTATTTCTTCCTTTCCGCTGCATAAATGCACCCAATTCTCTTAAAGAAAACTAAAATAGGGCCGCCTGGGTGGCGCAGTCGGTTAAGCATCCGACTTCAGACAGGTCACGATCTCGCGGTCCGTGAGTTCGAGCCCCGCGTCAGGCTCTGGGCTGATGGCTCAGAGCCTGGAGCCTGTTTCCAATTCTGTGTCTCCCTCTCTCTCTGCCCCTCCCCCGTTCATGCTCTGTCTCTCTCTGTCCCAAAAATAAATAAGTGTTGAAAAAAAAAAAAATTTAAAAAAAAAAAAAAAAACTAAAATAAAATGGGAACCTCGATCGATCCCATTCCATTATAGAAAATATTTACTGAGCACCAACTTTTCTAAGCACAACAGAGCCCCCCCAAGAGAGTAAATAAATAAAAAACCATGCTCTAATGAAGCCCGCGCTCAAAACAGGTGCAGTCATCATAGGCAAATACGTAGCGTGTCCAGCAGTAAGCACCATGAAAGAAAAAAAGGCCCAGGGAAGACGTGGGTCAGGGGTGGGTGGAACTGCTCTAACTACTCAAGTCTGCCAGAGGACGGGGCTCTGTGAGGCACGACCTGGGCAGCCCTCAGCAAGGCGAGGACGCAGACAGGCACGGGAACGTGGGAAGAGAGCTAAAACAGAGCACAGGTGCAAGTCGAGCGTGAAAGACCTAGGAGGTCTCTGCGCAGCGGTGGAATAAGCGTGGGGACGGAAGTGGCCAGAAGCAGGGGAGGCAGGTCCCGGGAGGCACCCTGAACTTGATCTTGTGGGCAACGCGCCAGCGCAAGATTTTCCAGAATTTGTCGTTGCTGTCTTCGGGCCGCCGGCTGGCCCTGGCCCTGGCCCCCGTCCCGACACCTCTCCCGCACCCCAGCGCGGCACCTGCCCCGCCGGGCCGGGCACTCACCATGGGGTAGTAGTAGCTGTAAGGGTAGGCGTAGTTATACTGCTGGTACCACTGGTAGTACTGCTGCTGCTGCAGAGCCGAGGCTTCTGCCTGTGACACGTACTGGGGAGAGGGACACACGCCATGAGCATCGGCAGCAAGAGCCCACAGGCCCTGCGGCCCCCCAAAAGGAGCCCGGACGACAGCGGTTAAGAGCGAAGGAGCGACACTGGGTCCGCCTCTCTCCAGAGAGCCATGGCCCCTGCCAATGATCGTGGGTCACCTCGGAGATCCCGGACACATTCCCCTCTTCAGGCTGGATCCCCTGGGACGAGGACCGTGAGGTGCCCTAAGCTCTCCAAGCAGAGCACACTTTGCCCCCCTCACCTGAAGGATCCCAGGACATCTTCGGGGCACCCTGTCCTCGTGATACCAGAGAATACCAAGCGTGTCCCTCCCCTAGCAACCCCCCCACAGGCTACCCAGGCACTGTGTGCCTCCTCACTTGTGCGCTGGCCACGGGCCCGTTGCTGCTGGCCTTGGTGGAGCTGCCGGCAGCTCCTGCTTTGCTGATGCTGGCCAGAGCCTGGCGGGCCTTCTCCCACTCCGGGTTCTCATGCATAGGAGTCTCCATGCCATTCTCTCTGCCTGCCCCGGCCACCATGCTGTACTGAGAGGACCTGCAAGAGAAAGGACACTGGTCGTCTCTCTTTTCCCTGTGCACGGTGGGCAAGGTGGAGGCAGGCACATACCCGGGCTTGAGTCCTAGATCTCCCTCGCACCACCTACTGGAGCCAAGATTTTTTTTAATCCAGAATATACTTTCATCGTAATACGCTGACACCTAGTTTCTGCGTCACACCTTTCTGTGAGAGATAGATTAGAGAACCAAGGCGCTACAGATGCCTACCACACAGCAGTTCTTACAAATCAGACAAAAAGATTACCAGTACCCACAGAAGTTAACATAGCATCTGGTGCCTAGTAGGCCTAAATGTTTCATTGGTCAGTTCTGGCTGACACCTCCCCAGCCATCAAGTCATGATCACGCTGTTTTGGAAAAGACCAGGTATTAGCAGAAACACACAAGTATTTGAGGCGTCGGAGTCTGCCCCTTAATCACAGCTCACTGAATGAATTCTTGCAGTTTTACGAAATAAGCACTGTACTGTGAATTTAAAACAGTGCTCAGAGAGGTGAAGACCCGACCCTCTCCACCCTGCAACCCAATGCTTCCCTGACCCTGGTGGCCAGAAGAGGCCCTCATCCCCACTCCACCACACTGTGTGCGATGCCGTCCCTGAGGACAACACTGGCTCTTGCTTCCTCTCGCCCTCCCCTCTGGCCTCCGCCCCTCCAGCCACACTAACCAATCCGTGCTACGTTGATCACCCACGTTGGCCGCCATCTGGACCTTGGGGCATAAGGGGTGGACCTCAGGAGCCAGACTGCTTTTTCACCGTCTATGAGAAAAAGAGGAGTTAGAGAGACTTGTGAAGACGCAAGAAACAAGTCACAAAGTTGGGGACTGGAAGAGCCGGGCTCACAAGGAGCCCGGCACAAAAGGAGCGTCTGAGAAGTTAGGAGAGAATTCTGGGTGTGGAATCAAAGGGCTTCTGTGTGAGGGGAAGATCTCCACCACCCTGCAGTGTTCTGGCTGGAAAATGAAGGATTTGAAAACAGGGAAGTCTGAAGAAATTTCCCAAAGGGAAAGAGGAGTGCCTAAAACCCACATGGGAAAAGGGATGATTCGAGGGAAACCCTGAGACGGAAGAAAGGTCCAGCGGGCGGGGTGGGGGGCCTCGGGTAAGGGCTGAAAAGAAATCCAGAGAGGAAGACAGCTTCTGAGAAGCAGCAGAAGAAAAAGGATGCTTGGAAAAACAAAGTCTACATAACTCTTCAGGCTGCAAACAGGGAAGCATCTATGGGAACCTAGAGAGAACTCCAGAGAACAGATGGAAAAAAAAAATATCTGAGAGAAAGGGGGCTTCTGTAAGTTACTCCAAGAAACAGGGAGAAGTGGAGGATGCCCACGATGGTGGGGGGGTGGGAGGGGGGGCGCTAAAATGAAGGAACGTCTCAGAAAGCTCTCAGGGAGCCTGAAGTCAGAGAAGTCCCCAAGGTCGGAGGACAAGCCTATATAAGCGGTTCCTAACAGCGGCCAGAAGACGCGATCCCCTGTTGCGGTCTGGAGAGAAAGCTTTGGAGATGCCTGAAAACGTCCAGAACGTCTTCAGGAAACTAAGACTGGAGTAGAAAAGACTGCAAGAAAGTGAAGGGGGTGCCTTGGGGGCAAAACTCGAGGGGCTAAGAAGTACAGGGGGTTCAAAGGCGAGTCTCCGCTGGAGAACCCCACAGTCCCACAAGAAGGGAGGGAACAGGAACAGCAATCTGGAGTTGGAAGAAACCCTAAGAAAAATCTGAAAGAGGAAAGAGATTGGGGGGCGGGGGGAGGGGCAGGAGGTGATGAGTGGGGACAGTGAGCGGGCACAGCGAATGAGGGAGGCCCGAGACAGAAAGGAGGGTGGGAGTAAGGCCTGGGGTGGGGGACGGAGGCTCGGAGGGTCCTGGGCTGGTCTGGCCGGCACCGGCCACGAGGGGCACCTGGCCATCCCGCAGGCCCGGAGGGGGCTAAGGCGTCAGGTGAAGAAAGAGCCCGTCGAGATCCCGGCGACCGGCTCCAGAGCCACTGCCCCGGCCGTGCCGCGCGTGCGCACCGCGTCTCCGGGGGGGGGGGGGGAAGAAGGTGCCGAGACCGCGCGTCGCCCGGGGCAACGCCATCCTCCCGGTGGAACAACGCGGTCAATGGGGATTGAGGGAGGGGGGCGCTCGGGGCCCAGAAATTCCGAGGGCGGGGGCGGGGAGCCGAGGCCGACCGCGCAAGCGCCAGGGTGCGCAAGCGCAGTGGCCTCCCGGGCCCGCCACACCCTGTCGTCGCTCGCGCGCGGCGTCCGTTGGTGCGACGGCCGACCTAGGCCTCAGGACCCGCTGGGTGGAGGGCCGGAAGGAAACGCCGTCCCCGCCCGACCGCCCACCGCTCCCCACACCCACCTCAGCAGTTTGTCCCCTAGAATCGTCAGCAGCGGCCCAAGGCGACAGCGACACGGCCGCAGAACTGCTCGCGACCCGGCTGGTTCTTGTCTTCCTTGGGCTTCGACGTTCTGACCGCAGCGTCCTGACGTCACACGGAGGCCTCGCCCCACCTCCCTCGACACAGCACAGCCAATGGGCGCCTCGAGCTTGACTTGAGCCCGCCCCCCGCTTGCGCAAGGACGCGTGGGCGTTTAAGGCAAGCCGGAAGACTAGGGTGGGGACGGTGGCCCCGAGGGGACACGCCCGGCGGGGTCGGCCGGCGTTGTGCCGGCACACGCAACCGGGTCTTGGCTCAGTGAGTGGTAGCCGCCGTTGTTTCCAGACACAGAGTAGCGTGAGGTGCGTTGTGAGACTACCTGCCGTACAGCTGTGGAAGCCCGGGGCAGAGAATGGTGAAGTCGAAGAAAGGGGGTGAGAACAGCCTCCGGGAAAGGGAGCTTCCCTACTGCATGAAACTGCCAGGCGTCCCCGGCCGAGAACGCCTGCAAACGCACGGAGGCGGGCGACGGGAAAGGCCTGGGGACCACCGCGGAAGCACGGGGGGAGCAGGTGGCCGCGGCGGAGTAAACGCGTGCGGGGTCCTGGACTAAGCTGATGGGTCTGTACAGGTGGGCAGGTGGCACACCCTGGAAGGGCAGTGGTGCCGCGCTGGGAAATGTGGACCTGGCAGGTAGCAGGGTGCCCTTTGTTTCCATCCTGGATCCTGACCGGTGGCACGATCCAGTCCGGCTCAGGGACCGCTCAATGTACGCATAGTAGGCAATAGAATAATTATTTCAGAAGCCGTTTCCTTCCCGTGTTTTACTATTAGGAACTTTTCTGTTGATGACTGCGTATCATTTTAATTAGCACAGTTGATCTTTTTCTGTCTTCTCTCTTTAAAAAGATAACTTTGTTTTAGGTTAATTTTGGGTGTACAAAAAGTTGCAAAGATAATTCAGAGTTCTGTGTATCCTACACCCGTTTTCCCTTAATGCTGTTATCTCGCATTATTGTAGTATATTTGCTAAACCAAGAAACCAACATTGGCACGTTACTGTTAACTAAACTGCAGCTTGATTTGATTTTTACTTTTTCCACTAATGTGTTCTTTATGTGCTAGGGTCTAATCTAGAGTACCCCATTGCCTTTAGCATCCCTTTGCTCTTTTTACTTTTGAGAGCAAGAGTGAGAGCGTGCATACTTGTAGGGAAGGAGGGGCAGATAGAGGGAGAGAGAGAATCCCAAGCAGACCCTGAGTTGTCAGCGCAGAGCCCCTTGCCGGGCTTGATGACACGAACTGTGAGATTGTGACTTGAGCCGAAATCAAGAGTCAGACACTTAACTGACTGAGCCACCAGGCGCCCCTAGCATCCCTTTACTTTTAACGGGTATGTTTAAGGTGGGTTTCTTCCTTCCTTTCTTTTTCTTTCTTTCTGCCGATAGGTTTCTTGTACATAGCTTATAGTTGGGTCTTTTTTACCCAAGTGAACAATCTCTGCCTTTTAAAAGAAGTGTTTATAACAACGCTTTTAGCAAGATTATTGGTATGCTTGCCTTTATACCTGTCGTCTTGCTATGGGGCTTCTATTTGTCCCATCTTTGTTTCCTTTGTCCCCTTTTGTGGCCTTCTTCTGGTGTGAGATTTTTCTTTTTTTAACAGGCTTTTTTAGAGCAGTTTTAGGTGGGGCCTTTGGGAGGTGTTCTGTCTCAGTCCCCCTTTGCTGTTCTGTGGTCAGACTCTGGTGACCATGGGCTGTGGTGATTTCAGGGCTCACCTGGGTGTTTTCCACGTCAGGGATCACTCTCCTTTGCCTGATGCTCGGTCTTGAGCCCTGTTGTTTTACAGATTTTGTCTGGCCTTTTGGTTGTTTCAGGAAGGAAAGAAAACCTAGTCCCTGTTCCTCCCTCTTGGTTGGAAGTGAAAGTCCTTCTGTGTGTGATTTTTAAAATAAAAGTATATTTATCTTTCGTAAAGGTTAGACGAAATGTCCTTCTTTTTTGGTTAAAGCTCCCGTGTTGGCAGAAAATCAGGCGGCCTGAATCTCAGGCTACTTTTGGAATCTGCAACCCATCAGGGGGTGTTTCAGCTTGCAGGCAAGGACTCACGGTCACCAGAGGGCAGTGTTTGAGGTCAAAGCAGCCTGAGGAGCTGTGGGCAGGCCCCAGGGTCAGCCAGCTCAGCTGCAGTCAAGAGGAGAGAGTGAGTCAACACTTAGGGCCCCCAAAGCCCCTTCACTGGAAGTTGCGGTCAGTTTCTGCTTCCCAGCTTCAGGCCAGTCCACCCTGAAAGCTTCCTTGAACATTCCTTGCAGTGCACAAGATGGAAACTATTAGCAAGACTGGTCGCCTAAGGCAGACCCTGCGCTGTCTGACACCTGGCACTCTGGGCCAACAGGCCCTGACCTGAGACCCTCGGGTATGTGTTTTGAGCTTTAAGGATTTTTCATGGTTTCGAGAGGCAACGTGATCTGTATCCCACACAGTGCCTGGTACCCTCACTACCCTGCACGGCGTTTGGAAGTAACCCCATCAGTGTTTCTGGAGGGTAGAGATGAACATTCACACAGGCAGGGGGACTAGTCTGTTTTTGCCGCCCGGTGAGTTAAGGGAGTTCAGGGAGACTTGTGGTCCGGGAGAGCTTTGAATTTTGGAATCGCAGAGGAGGGCCTGGGGACCTGTCATATGTCCCCCGCTATGATGGGTGAGGCAGCTGAGCCCCAACAGGTCAAGTGACTGACCACAGCCATCTGATGGTAAGTAAGCAGCAGGCAAGGCCCTTAATCACAGCCTGCACATTTGTCCTCTGTGCTGCCACCGCCTGTCACACCCAGCTCCGTTCTCTCCTTTCCTAGGCCTTCCCTAAAGTCCCGAACCCAGCCAAGGGCTGTTGTGTTCCGGAGAGCCCTGCCATACGGTTATTTATTGGATTCGCCCTCTTTCTGTGGCCTTCAGCTCCGAATTTAGCCAGAAGCCAAAGTTTTGTTGCAGCAGACAACCCTTAACATACGTCCCTAGATTTAAATGCCTCTGCTCTCCTTCTGTGAAGTGAACCCCCAAAGCAGGCCTGCCTGGTCAGAGGGTCTCCACTGTTTTGATTTGACCACCCGTGAGCAGACTGTTGTCACTGGATGGCGATTCCCAGTGTCAGGAGCCGCGGGTTGAGTGCCCGCACCTCCACAGCCCTGCCATCAGGGAATCTTCGCGCTGACTCCGTGTTAGCGTCGCTAACGCGGGCTGGAAAACCGATCCTGCTTGTTTGCAAATCACACTTCCTAATTATTAGGGTTTGAACATCTTTTTGTCTGTTCACCGGTGTTGGGATGTTCATTTTAGTTGCTTATTTTCAAGTCAAGTTGTCTTTTTCTTAGTCTATGGAAGCTTTGCAGATTTATGTAGTAATAATAACACATTTCTTTGCCATATGTATTAAAATGACTTTTCCCTAGACTACTAATTTGCCTCTTGGCTTTATGGTTTGTTTGTTTTTTGTTTTTTTGTTTTTTTTTTTTTTTTAGTTCCACAGTTTGTCAAATAAATTACCTTTTCCTTTCTAGCTTTAGAGGATCTTGCTGAAAATCCTCCCCTTCCAACCAAGGTATACCAGATACAAAATCTCCTACTTACTCTTTGAAATATTTCTGCCCCTTCCCTTGTCTACATTTAGATTTTCACCTGTCTTTATGTAGAATGTTTTCTTCCGGGTGGGGGGCCACCGTGTTCGCAGATCTTTGAAAGCAAGCAGCCCCTTCACTCTGACTTGACGTCTGTCTTCTGTCCTATACATACACTCTAAGATCTATTTCTGGGTGGTCTGGTCCATTCCAGGGATGTCTGGGTCAGGACCTGGGTCCTGCTTTTAGAATCAGGCAAAAAAGTTGTTATCGTCATTATTACTATTTAAAATAACAATACCTCTGGAACCGCCACAGAGCCTGGACAGAAACAGAAGTGCCCGGCAGCCTCCGGCTGCCCTGCCGTGAGGGGGGTCCCTGGGCCCCAGCTGGGAGGCCAGATCAGGGAGGAGAGAAATAAGGACCCAGCTGCTTGTAAAATAAAGTTTTCCCTTTTATTTCAAATCAACCCATTCCCAAGTTAGTGCCGCAAGTGGAGGTCACAGCCCTAAGCCCCCTGGGGCATGGCAGGGGCCGGGCACTTGTGTCCCTGCAAGGATGGGCCTGGTGGCCAAGGGTGAAGGGTGCGGGGCTAGCTGGCCATCCCTGCCTGCCAGCCCCAGGCCCCGGCCTGCCCCCTCGGTAGGGGCGTATAGTAGAGGTGCTGTTAGTGGTGAGAGCCCGGTCAGGCTGGGTCAGTGGGATCTTCTCCGGCCGCCAGGGAAGGAACCGCAGGGAGAGGCAGACACAGGGGCCCGATGCAGACGGCAAGGCCGCCCTGGTCCCCAGAGTGAGGGACAGGAGAGCAGCGGCAGCTCCAGGAACCGGGGTGTCGCTCTCTGGAAGCTCACCGGGGTGGGGGTCACGGGCTCCAGTCCGGCGTGGAGGAGGGGCTCAGATGGATGACTGCCACTGCACAAAGCGCTTGGATTCCTGCAGGGAGATTGGGGACAGGGCACGGAGGGGGGTCTGGCGCCGTGGTGCAGGCCCCCAGCCCCTCCCCCAGACCAGCGGGTCCACTACCTGAGGGTTGAAAGGGTCGTCGTCATCTGTGTCATCATAGTCGTCACTGAGTGGCAGAGAGGCAGGATGGGGGCTCCATGAGGAGGCTGACCCCCAACACCAGCCGCGGCCCAGGGGTGGTCACCCCACCACCACTCCCGGGACCACGCCCCCTCCCCTCCTGACCTGGGCGGGAAGAGGGCCCAGGCGCGGGGCAGGCTGCACAAGGCGGTGGCTAGGGCCCCCGCGGACAGGAGGGAGAAGAGCAGCAGGAGGAGCAGGCCTTCCAGGGCATCCTCACACAGGCCCCGAAGGGCAGCGCCGTAGTCCTGGGGTGGGCGGGGGAGGGTGTCAGCGGGCAGCGCCCCTCCCCCAGGTCCCCCCCACCACACACACACACAGTGTGCACGGCTCAGACCGCCCACCTGGCTGTGCCCTGCTGGGCAAGTCACTTGACCTCTCTGTGCCTCGGTTTCCTCCCCTGTCACCTGGACTCAGTCCAAGCACCCTGGAGGTGCTCCAAGCACAGTCATTGTACCTGGAGGTATAAACCCAAATCATGGCCTCCTCTCCACTGCACCCCCAGCCGCCACACCAGCTCAGCCTTGGTCCAGTGTGGGGCTGTCCCGTGCACTGGAGGATGTTGGACAGCCTCTCTGGGCTCTATCCACTGGATGCCAGTAGCACCCCCTCCCCGGTTGTGACAACCCAGACATGTCTCTGTGCACCCCCAAACGTGCCCTGGGGGCAGGATCTCTGGCTCAGAACCTCGCTAAGAAGAGCCACGGACTCAGAATGGCACCTTGCACGTAGTGAGGTCATTTCAGGTCACAGGAAGCCGAGAGGGGACCAGAAGGCAGTGCTGGGCCCTGGCAGCAGTGGGGACGGATCCTGGCAGGAAGGCACGTGCCCGCTCGAGGCCCCGGAGCCGTCTGAGGGCTGCTGTGGCCTGTGCAGGGAGGGGGTGTGAGGGGCGGAGGCTAGGAGCAGCCCCAGCCCCCTGCAGGCGAGGCGTGGAACTGGACTTTAATCCGTGTGCAGGGGAGTCGCTGAAGGGTTTTAGTGGAGAAAGAACTTGATCGGATTGTGTGTGAGGCTCAGCCAGCTGTTAAGCTGTTTCGGGGAGGACAGATGGGGGGTGGGGGGGACAAGCAGGGGAACAGGGGAAATACTGTGTGGCCACTGGGTGGGAGGTGAGGAGGGTGACCAGGGTACAGCAGGGGTGGAGTGAGTCATGCTCAGAGCCCGGGTGGGTTTCAGAGGAAGGGCCAGCAGAACTTGCCTGGGGAATGGCTGCGGGAGGTAATGGCTTGCTGACAGACAGCAAGAAGGATGCTTCTAGAAGCTTTCTGGCTTGAGTCCTTGGCTGGCGGGCAGGGTTGCCTGGTACTGAGCCAGTGTGTCACAAGGGAGGGGCCCGTCAGGGCGGTGGGGCCTTCTGTTTTTACTGTATCAGGCACCTACCCTCCTCATAGCCCTGCAAGGCAGAGATCAGCTCCCCCTCACACTGCTGCCTTTTGCAGTGGCAGAAAGTTGAAGCCCAGAGAGGGCAAGCCACTTGCCCAGAGTCACACAGCCTGGAAGGGGCAGAGCTGGGATTGGAGCCAGGCCTCTGAGGCTCCAGACCCACCCTCCTGGCACTTTATCCCCGATGTCAATCCTGATTTTAGTATGTGGGGACCCTAGAGCCTAGAGAGGGGAAACTGAGGCCGAGGGTCACACGGCACACCAGTGGAAGGTGAGACTCTGACCCACCCTTCTCCCTCCCTTCCTTCCCTCTGTCCACAATGAACCTTGGGAAGCACAGTCCAGCCCAGTGTTGGCCTGGACCAGAGAGTGAGTGATCTGTGGGGCCCAGTTTGCCCTTCCACGGAAAGTCGGGGTGCCTTCCAGGATTTTGCAGCTCAGGTGTTCAGCAACCCTGAGTATTGCTTCATTGTGTCCCCCATGGCCCCCTTGTTAGAGTGCCAACCTCCGAAGCTTTGGGGACAGTGGGAGCTATGGAAGGGATGTGATCACAGCAAGGGCCTGTTCAGATCCCTGGTAGGGTCTCCAGAACCAAGGCAGGATGCCCACGTAGATTTGAATTTCAGATGCCCGACAGCAAAAAATTTTAGTACAAGCACCTTCCCAACACAGCATGGGACATACCTAACAGTAAAGAGGTTATTTGTTTGGTACATCTGGCAGCCCTGCTGAGGGCCCATGAGGGGACACAGCACAAGGGCCGAGGAGGCACGTGTCCTCCAGGGGAAAAGAGGCCTGAGCTGCAGTGGGCCCTTGGGATGGGGGTGGGGCGAGGAAATGGCATGACACTGGGTGACTGCCTGGCTGTGGAGGCTCACAGAGGGAGGGGAACGAGGCCTCTGGGACCCAGTCCTCTGCCCCTCATCTTCCAAGTGCGTTAGGTGGAGAGCAAGGACAGCATTTCCTTCCGACCGACAGCGTGATGAATGAGGGCTCAGGGAGCTACGAGCAGTAACGCACACAGCAAAGCCCCGTGCGTGCGGGGAGGACGGCGGTCCCGCGCAGGAAAGCAGGTGTCCTCTCCCTCCTTTCACCGGGGAGGGAAACCGGGGTTCAGGGGTGCTCCCCTGCCAGTGGCCAAAGCGGACTGAGTCTGTAGGAAACCAGGCATCCTTTCTCTGGGGTGCCCTGCCCACCCGTGCTGCCTCAGTACGATGAGACCACACCCCCCCCCCCCCCACACACACGCACACACACAAGAGCTTTACAGCTGCTGACCCCCTGCAACCTCGGTTTCATAAGCGAGGAAACTGAGGCACAGAGTAGGTAGTGACTTGCCTGAGGTCAGGAGCCAGGACTGGACCCCAGGCATGTCTTGCTTCAGAATTCCCTAACCAGCACAGGCTCGAGGAGGAAGGCAGGGAGCAAGGGAGGGGTGGGGTGAGCGGGGAGGAGGAATACAGATGATAGATAGGTGATAGGTAGGTAGGTAGAGAACAGCTATATGGCAGATAAATAATAGAGATAAACGTAAGGATTTCTCAGGGTCGGTGGGAGAAAGACCGGAGGGCTCCCTGGAAGAAGAATCTGGACAAAGGGACCGGGCTCACCTTGTGCAGGCCGCGACAGTGCAGCAGAGCCACCAACTGGTGGAAGTTTCCTTCTGTGACATTGAGCGTCTCCTCCAAGGACAGCAGAGGCTTCTGCACGGGAGTGGAGTGTTACCCCACGCACTCCTCAGGCCGCGCGGTCCCCCGGGCTCCGCCCCTCTGGACAGACCCCGCCCACAGGCCGCGAGCCCCCACCCGCCGCCCCGCCTCCTTCCCCTGGGAGCGGCCTGCGCACCTGCGCATCAGGGAACTGGGGGACAGCTTCTCGCTCCAGGCCCTGCAGCTGGGAGTGGATGTTGGCCAGAGCCCGCTGGGACAGAGTCAGCCTCTGCGGGAAGACAGAGGGAGAACCGGGTAGTCCGCGCCCCCGGCCCGCTCTGCATCCTGGCGCCTACATCCCCCCCCCCCCCCCGAACCTGCAGTCCAGGCCCCAGCCCGCCCTCCTCCGCCCGGCTCCCTTGCCCGCACCCCTAACCTGTTGAAAGGGGTTGGAGACTGCCTGGTTGCAGAGGAAATAATAGTTCAGGATGTCTGAAGCGGGAGGGAAAGAGGGGGGGAGGCCATGAGCCTGGGTCCCCAGCGCCTCCCTAGGGCAAAGGTGGGAAGGGGCAGGGCCCTGTCTTTCCACCCTCAGGGCCAGGGGCGTCTCCCCAGCTCAGGACCCTCCTGTGGTCCCAGAGGCCTGGCATTCAGGGACAGGCTAACACAGCCTCCCTTCTCCAGCCACAGTCAAACACGCGGCTCTCCACACTCCCCTGGAACCGGATCTTCTGCAGTCCTGTCCTTGTCTAAGGTGCACTCCCATTTCCTCCCATTCCTGGGGAGGCGGGCCCAGCCCCTCCTCTGGTCTGTATCCCTCTCTTTCCCAGCCCATCAGGAGAGGTGCCGAGAGCTTCTGAGACTGAGCCCCCAACCCCACCCCAGGCGGGACTGGGCACAGAGGCCTGAGGACCCAGGGCCTGCGCTGGGTTGATGGGATCACCTGAATCGAGCCCGGTCTCCTCCTCGGTCAGGTTCAGGATGTAGGTGTCAGGACTGGAGCAGAAGTCGCTAAGGCCCTGAGAGAAGCATCAGGAAAAAGGGCTCAGACCAGAAACTTTTCTAGTTCCACACTCGCACAGAACTCAGTGTCTGGATAACAGCCCAGCCCCCCAGCCCTGGGAAGCCAGGAGTCCAGGCCCCCAGCCCCTCCTCCCTCAGGCCCAGGAGTCCTGGCCCCCAGCCCCCCCTCCCTTAGAACACACGTATCCAAGGCTCTAGCTTCCAGCCCTCAGGATCTAGACCTCAGAACCTGGGATCCTGGCCCCAAGTCCTTCCTCTCAGGGTCTGCCCCGGGATGCAGGCCCAGGGCCCAGGGGCCTGGCCTGCAGCACTCACCACAGCTGTAGCCGCCTCCAGGCCCATGGAGCCCCAGCTCAGGACAAGAACTAGGAGACTCATCACTGCCATCCTATAAAGGGGGGGGGGGGGACTCATCACGGTCCATCCCATCACAGCCCCCCTTCCCTACCACCCTCTGGAGCCTGGAGGGGCAGAAGTAGGGGCAGAGAAACTGGGCGGGGGTGGGGAGTGCAGGTTGTAGATCTGTGGTTGTTGACGTCAAGCTGAACAACTTCAGCTTGCTTCCCCGGGGGTGAGGGGGGAAGACAGTGAGGAGGGCCCTGGGCTGGCAAGCCAGCACCCCAGATCCCAGCCCGGCTCTGCCCCTGCCTTGCACCGGGATTCTGGGAGAGCTACCGCCTGCTTCTGGGCTCTTTCCTGGCTTTGAGTTCACAGGAGCCCAGCAAGCCGCAAACGTGCCTCCCTGGTTTGAGCATAGCTTGGTCAGCCTCCTGCTCTGTCCAGACTCCTCCCCCGAGGAGCGGAGACATAGCCAAGGCTGAAACTGCAGCCTGAGTTTTCTCTAGGGATGGGGTCTGGGCGCGAGGGTTAGCACTGGAGGGTGGTCACCGTCCGGAAGCCTCAGGGGGAGCCTGCATGGGACAGTGGCACTTCTTACCCAAGGTGGGCGTGGAGACCAGGGAGCCCCAGCAGGGCCCCCAGAGGCAGGGAGGAAGCAAGGGCCCCCCTGAGTGGCATAGGCTGGCCTGAGTCAAACACCAGCTCCAGCATTCCCTGGCTGTGCAGCCCTGAGCAGGAGGCCCAACCTCTCCGAGCCCCGGTCCCCCCTGTGTCAAATGGGGAGAAGGAAAGCATTTCCTCACAGGGTCAGCCTGCAGGTTGCAGAAGAGAGCTGGCCGTATTTAACGAGCCGTTAAATCAGAGAGTGGTACTGAGATTCCCTTGAGCCACACAATGGCCACGCAGCCTCGGATGTGGTTGCCTTCTGCCTTGGTCCCTCCTCTGCACGTCAGGTGCCTGAGGGGCCCCTTGTTCACAGGTGGTTGTGTGTGCACGGTCCTCAGCAGAAGTCAGCAATCACCCCCTTCCCGAGCACGACCGTTACGGGCTTTTTTCTAGGATTTGGAGCACCCGCGTGGCCTCGAATCCTGCGTTTCCAGGTCTGCCCCGTGCCTCCCGGGCTGCTCCAGGCCTGGTTTCTCTGCACGCGCTGGCCCAGCCCAGGACCCTCGGGGGCAAGCCTGTGGGCTGGGGGCACGAAAGCAGTACGAGGCTGGGAAGGACGGCAGTGGTCCCTCTCGCAAGAGCGCCGTGGGATGGAAAGAGGTCCCCTCGTGCTGTGACGTGAGCCCGCCTGCCACGAGGGCGCCCGCTCTTACACGATCACCAGCCACTTGCTCTGCTTTGCCAGGCCCAGGAGCGTGAAGAGACAGACCAGCAGCTCCAGCAGCAGCAGGAGGACGTAGGCCAGCCACCTGGAGAAGGGACAGAGTGAGACAAATCAGCCTTCAGCACCCCGGCTCCCAGGCCAGGACTTGGCACAGGGGGACGGCTCCCCAACATGCATGCCCTGCTCTGCCTGACCATGCGGGCCCCCCCCCTCCCCAGCCGCCAGGCCCCCGGGCTGCAGCCGGCTCATCATGAAACGGGTGCGCTGGGAGGCGGGCCGCCGTAGCCCTTCAGGGCGCAGGTCCCAGGGCCGGGGCGCCTGGACCCGTTCCCGGATGGCAGCGAGCAGAAGCCCGCTAACAGGCACAAGTGTTTGGCCTCCTGGAGCCCCACCTGCCTCCCCAGGCTGCAGGGTGAAGTGAGTCATTCCCAGGCGCGCTGAGTGTCACATTGCACGGCCTGGGGCTCGGGGCCGGCCTCTCTCTGCCTCCTAGCTGCACGCAACCCTTGTCTCTGGGACTTTGCCTCCTGTGCCTCGGTTTCCCCGCCTGTACCACGGGGGGAGAACAGCAGCACCTACTCCAAGAGCTTGTCGCAAGGCTAGTGGGAGAGCACTTAGAAGGGTGCCAAGGGCGCCTGGGTGGCTCAGTCGGTTGAGCGTCCGACTTCGGCTCGGGTCATGATCTCACAGTCTGTGAGTTCGAGCCCCACATCAGGCTCCGTGCTGACCGCTCAGAGCCTGGAGCCTGCTTCTGATTCTGTGTCTCCCTCTCTCTCTGCCCCTTCCCTGCTCATGCTCGGTCTCTCTCTGTCTCAAAAATAAATAAAAACATTAAGAAAAAAAAATTTTTAATAAATAAATAATAAATAAATAAATAAATAAATAAGAAAAAAATAAAATAAATTAAAATAAATTAAAAATACAAAAAAATAATAATAATAAAAGAAGGGTTCCAAGAACGTGGACACACTTAAATACGAGCTCGAACGCTAGCCAGGGAACTTCAAGTGTTACTTACTTAGGTCTCAGTGACTGATTCACTCTGAGGGAGCACAGCCCCAGAGCACGCTCAGCGCACGGCATCGCTCGCAGTGCTCCCCACGCGGCTGTGCCCAGGCTGGGGCCCCAGAGTGGCAGGGACCCTCCTTCCCAGGGAAGGAGCTGGGCCGCGTGACCCAGTAGACCTCCACGCTTTCGCTGCCAGCGTCCCCACGGCACACGGCACACAGCACACCGCACGCACACACCGCACATGCGCGCGGCACATGCACACGGCAGCTCACTCTCACTTCCGTCAGGGGCAGCCCAGCCTCCTGCCCTAGTTGTGTGCTGTGAACTCCTGCCCTCGGCCTCCAGGAACTCTGCCAGGAAGCTCTCCCTCCAGGGGCCCCGGTTCTCTTGCAGGAAACTGGCCACCTTCGTTGAGGGGTGACTCCCAATTGCCAGGCACTCTCATGTCGGTGCATCCAGATGTTTCCCGTTGGTGGTGGGCCTGCCTCACCCCGGTGGAGTTCTGCACAGCTACCGGAACCCCTGGAAGGGGGCTGAGGCCTGGTACGTGCGGCCTCTGGGCTCAGCCACAAAGCAGAAGCTGTCCTCACGGGGACCCAGGCCCGTCTGATGGCCCGTGGGCCATCCTCGTCACGGGCCGCTTCAGTCCTAGTCTGCCTCCACCTTCTCCGTGTGGCCTTCCCAGGCCTCCCCTGCAGCCCCCAGCCCCTGCCAGCCTCCGGACCCAGCCCATCCCTCTCTCCTGCTCAATTTTCTCCCGAGCTCCCCCCACCCACCACCTTGGAGAAAATGTTTTACTCGTGTGTGTTCCTTATTGGCCCCCTTACTGGAAGACGGGCAGGAGTTGTCGTCTGTCTTAACAAAAACTTACGTCTCACAGACAACCGTACAGAATGAGCTGGTCGCTGCTGGAAGCACTTAACGGATACGGACACGTCTAATCCTCAACAATCCCATGAGGGGAACACTATCCATTATCCCCGTTTCATAGATTGGGACACTGAGGCACAGAACTCGTGAGGAACTTGTCACACGGTTAGGGAGTGGCCCTCTGGCTTTAGAGCTCCCGTTCCCCATCACTCGGGTATGTCTCTCTTGCACGCAAGGTGCTAAATAAACGTGTGTTGAGTGGATACACGTGTCAGATGGGTGGATGACCGAGAAGAGTAGCGCCAGTCTGGGCGTGAGTGGATGAATCCTCGGGGGCGAGGGGGGTGTGGGGCGACTCGGTCCAGCTGTGTCACAGGGTATCTCCACCTGGGCACTACTGACACTTGACAAAGGCCATCCCTTGCTGCAGGGACCGTCCTGTGCACTGTAGGACGCGTCTCTGGTCTCTGCCTACCAGGGGCCGGTAGCTCCCCGTCCCCCAGGGGTGACCACCAAGCACGTCTCCCAACATTGCCTGATGTCCTCTGGAGGCACAACCACCCAGGCTGAAGGGGCGGTCACCCACCTGTACTCCTCCACGAAGGACACCTCTTCGGCCACTTGCAGGGGGCTCAAGGGCACTCCCCACCAGAAGGCCAGCCCCTGCAGCTGCTGGGTCACGGCCTCCGCCTGCCGCCGAGCGCCCCGGGCAGCAGCCACCAGCTCCGTGCGCTGTGCGAGCACCTCCTCCAGGCTGGTCAGCTCTGTCCTCACTGCCTCACCCAGCCTCTCCACTGTCTCCAACACCTGTGTGCAGGGGTGAGTCTGGGGTCAGGGGAGGGTCTTCTTTGGGGAGGCCAGGGTTGGGGGACAGAGTTGTGAGGGTGAAGCAGAGGTGAGCGGTGGCAGGTGTCTGAGATCTAGAGGCTAGGACATCTGTGGAATGAGGAAAGGACAGAGGGGTACAGTTCTGCGGCCTCCATCAGGAACCCTGGGTGGTCAGTGGCTTGGGTCCCCGGTAGAGACCAAGTGTGAAGGGGGGGGGGGTCTAGGTTCAAGCCCCACGGTCCAGATCTGGGTTAAGGTCCCGGTGGCAGTCAGGGATGGGGGTCCAGGTGTCCAGTCTGAGGTCCACAAGTTGCAACCTGAACTTCTGAGTCTGGGGCCCAGGGTTTCAGGGATGCGTGCTGGGCTCTGAGTGTGGGTCCAGTTTCTCCGGGAGGTGGCCCTCTGTGCCTCGGGGGATCGGTCTGGCCGCTGCCTGGCCCCTCACCAGGTGGTCTATGGTGCTGAGCGTGTGGTTGGCATGCAGCAGGGCCGAGCTGAGCTGGGACACCCCATCGCTGGTCTCGCTGTTGCCATAGAAACCGATGCCAATGCCGGCGCTGAGAGGGGAGGGACGGGAAATCACAACCTGTCCTGGGACCCTGGGGGCCGCGTCCCCCCCACCTCCTCACACACCCAATCCTGGCTCCCACCCCCACCCCATTGGTCCAGCCCGTCGTGGGAAAGGAACGTCTCCAGCCTGGCCCCCACCGGTTGCCAAGGTAACGGGAAGCCCCCCCCCACTCCCCCGCCCAGGGGACGTCATTGTGATGCTAATGGTGGGTGGAGGGGGGGGGGGGACAGATTTAACCCGAACCTCACTGGAGCCGAACTCCCCGCACGCCCAGCCCCAGGAGAAGCGCCCCCCCCAGGACCGCCGGCCCCACACCCATTCCTCATCCTTCCCTCAAGCATCCCCGACAGGAGCACCTGTCTCTTCGGGGTCCCCGCCGTCCCCTCCCTGCCTGCTGGGGGATCCTAGCAGTGCAGGGCCCCAGCCCTCATCTCCTGGGGGACCCCAGCCTGGAGCTCCCCGCCTTCCCCCATCCCCGGGGACCCAAGCGTCTGGCCAGCTGGGAGCGAAGCAAGGGAATGTGGGGCCGATGGGCCAGAAGCCTGAGCCCCCGCCCCTCCGCGGCCAGCACACAGAGCTCCATTGTGGGGTCTGAATGTGGGACCGTCCCTCCCCCCACCACCCCCGGAGTGTCCCTGCGCGGAGGGGCCGGGCCGGACTGGGCGGAGGGAGGCGGGCGCCCGCACGGTTCCCAGCCCCGACTACCGGGCCCCACCCCCAGCCCTGGGATCCCACGCCCGCCCTGGCGCCCCCCCTCCCCCCCATTGTTGGAGGGCAGACAAAGCTGCTCTTGTTCCCGGGCCGCGGGGGCCGGCCGTGTCTCTCCCCCACGGGGCCTTTGTCCACCGTTCCTGTCCACCCCCACTCAAGAGAGCCCGAGGAGGAAGCATTTTGGATATAGGACGCCCAGCCCCCCTCCCCCACAGACACCCCCAAACACATTCTGCTGGTTCCTGCAGCGAGGGGGTGCGGTAGAGCCCAGCCCGCCACCACTCCCCGCCCCCCCCCCCAGCGGGTCCAGTCCTGGGGAACAGGGCGACTGTCCTGCGCTGGTGGGGGTGTGGCCTGCTGGCCAAGGCTGTGCTTAGAGCTGGCTCCTGCTGAACAGTGGGTCGTCAAGTCCTCCTTTCCTCTCCCCCCACTCCCCCCCCCGGGGGTCACAGAAAAAGGCAGGGCCTTGAGAAGTTACTTTCCGCCTCTCCCTGAGACTTGGCCTTTCCAACCTGGGTGTGAGTACCCTGAATCCAGGTGGGTTACTGTGGGAAGGAATGAGACCCACTCAGGTCTGGGCCGCGGGGTCTGCTCTGGGATTCTGAATATTCCTACGATGTCTGTCTGCCTGACTAGAACATCATCAGCCCCATGAGGGCAAGAATCTTGTCCGGGCAGTTGGGTATCTCCTGGCACACAGTAGATCCCCAGGAAATAGTTGCAGAATGAATGAATGAATGAAGAGTTCATGAATGACATCACCAGTCACCATTTACTGAGTACCACTGTGAGCCAGGCACTGTACACGCTCTCATTTAATCTTACCATAACTAGCAGGTGAGCTTTGCTATAGCGTCCATTTTAGAGATGTGGAAACTGAGACCTAGAGAGATTATATCCCCTAGCTGCACAGCTATTTGGTGACAAGGCCACCAAGCCCGAGCTCTTAACCCCTGCCTCCTCCTGCAGGGCTGGCTGTCCTTGGGAGGTCACTCCTCGTCTCGAAACTCAGTTTCTCCATCCACGCAACGACAGCTGTTTTCCCGAGTCAAGGCTGAGGTGGGATGCTAGGACACCCTCCGGAAGACTGAGCGCGAGCATGGGGAGCCCCGTCCCCACTTCCCCACCCGCCCTGGGGCCCCATTACCAGCCGACGAGAAGGGCAGCGATACAGCTCCAGGTGACACAGCCTCCCCCGGGTGGGGGGCTCTTGGCCCCAGGGGGCTCGGGGGGCCGGCAGCAGCAAAAGCGGATGAGGTAGACAGCAATGAAAATGAGGCTCAGGCCCAAGCCTAGGCCTGCCAAGGCCGCCACCAGCAACAGGGCCTGGGGAAGGGGGAGACAGGAGGCCTCAGAGGGGCTGGAGGTCCTGGACGTGGGGGATTCCAGTGGAGGTGGAAGGCAGCCCCGGCTAGATTGGGGGTCAAGCCCAGCCTGTGGTTCTCAGTCTGTAGGGAAAGGTGGGGTCCCCAGCTCCTCCCAGGCTGGCAGCTGGGTCAGCGGAGGCCCAAATCCTGGGTTCCAGTTCCACTCTGCGTGTGACCTTCCCCTCTCTGAGACTGTCCCTCCTCACCCCCACTAGGCGGTTGGAATAGAGACTCTCCTAGGGCCTGCTGGGACCTGTCTCCGGAACCGAGTGGGATCAGGGGGTGGACGGGGGCGCCTGTTCCCGGAGATGTGTGCGCGAGGTTGGGGGTGGGCAGCCTGCCTCTCCCCTCCTCCTTGCTGCTCCTCCCCACTCACCGCTCGCTGTCTCCCCTGCTGCTGAGCTCTGCACACCCACCGCACTGTGAGTCTGTCACCCAGGGACTCACAGGGAGGGGGGCGTGACAGCCTCCATGGCAGTGAGAGCGTGTGCAAGGCTCAGAGATGGAGACTTGGGACAGAGACAGAGAGAGAACCAAAGGCAGGGAGAGAACAGGCGTATGCAGTTGGAAAAGCCTTGCGGCACAACCTGGCTCTCCACAGGGCAGGATTTCACAGCGGGTGCCGTGCACTCCTGTCCTCTTCCGCACGCCCAGAACAGGGCAGGGCGTTACCTGGAGCCACACAGCACAGTAGGGACACAATGGGGAACAGAACCAGACCTCCAGGCTCCCTGATGCCATTTCCCGTAAACTACAGGCTCTCTGCTTTTGTCCCTGCAGGGTGGAGTGTGGGGTGTGTGACACAAGCGTGTGGTTTATTTGCGTGTCTGGCTGTGAAACTGGGTGTTTTATCTTTGACTGAGTTTGTCTACCATGAGATACACCTGACTCTGTGTGTGTGGGGGGGGGGGGGAGAATATATGTGAAAGTGGGTGAGAAAGTATGTGTATACAAGTGAGCTTGGGGTGTATGAGTGACTGAGGGAATTGTGAGTGTGTATGTCTATGTGACTGTGTGAGTATGGGGCATGTGTGAGTGTGTAAGTGAGGGCAGGAACGTGCGTGTGAGTGTGTGTATGTACATGTGACTATGTGGGTGTGTGTGAGTGTCTCTTCCAGCCTGGTGGCACCCAGCGCCTGACTTTTTCCAGCCGTGCCCACAGTGGTAATCTCCCTGGGGGGCAGCGTCCCCTCCCGGGCCGTGTGACTTTGTGCGTGTCCCAGACCTGTCACCCTGTCGATGACGGGGGTGGAGTGAGCCTCTCCGAGAGCCTCCGGCAGTGACTGGGACCAGGCCAGCTACTGGTGCTTGGCTGTGTGGGCAGGTCTCCCCGGCCATGAGGGGGCGTCGGTGACCGGCACTGGAGGTCGTCGTTGTGTAAGCCTGAGGCTGTGGGCAAGGGGGTTGGCGGTCCCCATTTGGTGGGGAGAGGGAGGCGCGGAGTGGCAGGGAGGAGCTGCTCCCGGCTGGCACAGCCATGACCCAAATAGCTCACAATACAGCACACATCCCCCTCTCTGCTTTTCTGGGACCCCCCCCACCCCTAAGCTCTCCAATCCCCAGCCCTCTATCCCAGGAGCTCCTCCTGCACAGATCCGAGGGGCCTAGACCCTCCAGGCAGGGCCCGGGACCCTTAGCTCCACCCTGACCCCCAGCTCCACCCCACCCCCCCACCCTGCCCCCGACACACGCACTCCCCCCACCCCGTCCCCAGCCAAGCCTTGCTTCTCATTAATCTCAAAGCCAAGGACTTGAATTAAACTGGGTCAGGGGACAGTTCTTTCTCCCCCTTTCTGGAGCTGACCCAGGCTGGGCCCCCTTCCCCAGGGACCGCTGCCTGTCAGGTTCCCACCCAGCCCCACCCTCCGGACCCATTTCTGTCATCCTCTGG